GAGGAGGAGAAAGAGAAAGAGAAAGAGAAAGAGAAGAAGAAAGAGAGGAGAGGGGAGAGGAGGGGGAGGGGAAGGAAGCAGAAGTGAGACGAGGAGAGGAGAGGAGAGGAGAGGAGAGGAGAGGAGAGGAGAGGAGAGGAGAGGAGAGGAGAGGAGAGGCTGTAACTGGACAGTGGGCCACCAGAGTGAGACTGTTAATATCTGAATCAATGAACCAAGTCTCTGAACCTGGCTCAGGGCCACCTTAGGCTCATCGGGAGCTGCAGGAAGTACTGCAGGAAGAGGTGCTGTGTGACTGACATCTGGATGTATGTCCTTCCTAGGGCTCCTGGTCACCTCTTGTTAGTGTCATAGACACAGGAACCGGGGTTAGTCAGCCTAATGTTCTAGGAGGACAAGGAGGGGCCTTCTTGTCCCAGTTGAGGGATTGTTAGCTTACCACAGCCCAGCACAGTGACTGACATGCGGCAGCCACAACTGTAATAGCAGCCAATAATGGAGGCTAATAGCTGACAATTACTGGGTGTGTGCCGTTGTGAGGACTTCTCCGGTGCTTTCTTTCCATCAGCCCACTTAACTCTCAATCCTAAGAGGCACAAGCTGTTACAATCCCATTGTACGAAGGAAATTGAGACCTTCCATGAGACAATGGGATTGAGGTGGCTTAGGACGTGATGTGACAGCATCCTCCACAGCCTGGACTGCCTCTGTCCTGACTAGTTCCCTATTTTAACCACCCAGCTGAGTGGCACCTGCTCCATCCTGGCCCTCCATCCTCCCCAACGGCACAGGTAATCCTCTTTCCTTTGTCTACCTAAGCCTTTATCCATTGTCCAATGCAATAACTACCACATTCACCACATTATGCCTTTTTTTATTAGAAAGACTGGTATACATCCACCATAACAAGAGGTAAGCAGACCTCAATGCAACAAATCACAAGTTTTCAAGCAATAATCAGCCCACAGTTCAAACCTCTTCCCCACCAGGTGCTGTTTTAGATGATTTGGCAGGCGCCACCTTCCCCCAAAACAACACATCTCTTTTCAAAGTGTGTTTATATCTGCTGATTCCTTTGATATTCCTGGAAACCTAGTAGAGTGAACTTTATAGGTAAAATTATCCCTAGATGAACATAAGGAAACTGAGGCACACGTGCTGCTCAGCAACTTTTCTCAGGTTCCTTGAACCTGCAGGTGTCCGTAAGGGAAGGCTTCCTGCCAGCGCTTCCAGTAGGGTGATGAGTCCGTGAGCTCTCACCACCCGATAATAATCCCTCTAAGGGGGCAGCAGGGCTGTTGACAGCAGGAGTCACATGTGTGTGCTGGGCAGAAATGAAGACATCCTAAAGAAACACTTTTTGTCCCTCAACCTATCAGACTATTGGAATGATGGACCCCAAAAAATAGGAAGTCCATGCAAGGAGCTCACAGTAGGAGAAGCAAAGGCACTAGCCAAAGCTGGCCTGACTCTAGAAAAGGGGTCTCACACCATTCCGATCACTTCCCAGAGCATCCTGCAACACTGAAGCCCAGAGCGGTAGTAGGTAGCTCCACACCTAGACTAGGGCTACTTCCACGTGCATGTCCTTGGGCCGCCATTTAAATTTTGATCCTCCTTCAGGAACTTGGCGAGCTCCCCAGGTCCCTTTGCACTTCCAGTGCGGCCACATGAATAAATCTCCTTTTTCTGCTTTCCTCTTGTGATCTTCCTCTTTTAATCGACTTTATTGGGGATAGGTGGCCAGACCTGACTTGGAACACAGGTTATGACCTCCAAGTTCAATTAAAATAGGAAGTAACCGTGTTGAAGGAAAGGCAGACTTTGTAATTACCTGACAATGTGGAGCAATCTCGAGTGAGAGCTACCTGGCTGTGTTTACAGGAAAAGACTGGGTCCCCGTGTGTGTGTCTCAATACCAGGGTCTGGAGAAATGAGGGCAGAGGAAGCAAGACTGGTGGGGAAACTGCCAGGAAGGGCTGGGGTGAGGCCTGCCGAGGGATCGGCCCCAGAACTTCAGTGATCTTGAAAGGTCATATGACCCACTGCCTCTCAAGGGAACAAACAGGTCCTGCCTGGGCCCTGAGGAAGAGCAGCTAAGTAACTAGGATACTGCTGGCTCTTCGATATAACCAAGAACTAGTCAAGAGTTGTCACCGGAGGACCACAGGCCTAAGTCACTAGATTACAGTTCCACGGGTCCCCTTCCCGATTTCTTTCCTCAAAGATGCTGAACCAATCATGGGAGGACACTAGGCCAGCTGCAGAGAGGGGGAAGTATGTTCCTCTGTAGAACTAGACCTTGAGGGGACACAGAGGCAAACACTTTCAAAGAGGAAAGCAATGGGATGAGTCCCTGCTCTCAGAAAACTCAGGACCCAGAGTCTTCAGCAGAGACAGGCCACCAAGATGGGCACTAAAAATGTCTGGAGGCAAAAAAAAAAAAACCAAAACAAATTCTTCCTGGGATATTTCTCAGATCTCTGGGCTTCTGGGAAGAAAGGGAAAAAATGACACAGCCGGGCAGCAAGGAGGGCAGGGGCCACGGGAGGACTTGGCCCACTGAGTCACGAATAGCTCAGAGTCCAGAGAAGCACAGTCATCCCCACACCCAGCCCCTCTCTCCTCCAGGAAGCCTTCCCTGGGTGACAACTCCCAGCTTCTGGTCATCACTCTTCCCATGGCAGGCCAGGCGTGGCTGCTCTGTTGGGCTGGACTACTGTGGACTACTGGCTTTGCCAGCACTTGCCTCACCCTCCTCAACATACACAAAACCAAGTGGACAGCGCTCCCGGGCACACTGGCGACACCCATGCTGATGCGGGTCACGCCCAGGTCAACAACCAGCATCCTCTTCCCCAGGATCCCCAGGGACAGATACCTGGGTCTCACGCAGGGCACCTCCTCTCCCTCAATCTGTCCTTGAGGACTGGGACTTTGACGTTTACACATCTCTCCTTCTCTCCTCCTTTCCTCCTGTCCCTGTGTGTAGCTACTGACCCTTCAACAACAAGCAGGAACCCCTTATTGAGTCTCCACGTTCTCCCCACCTGATGGATTCTCTAAGGTACACAAATTTCACCACCCCATTTTCAAGGATAAAATCCAAATCTTGGTGTCCACCTGAGTAAATGATGTTTGCATGTTCCCCTTGGACATTTATTTTCTAGACAGCTCTCTGCTAGTCCCAGATATGGCACCTGAGTCTCCACGGCTATTATATCTGCTTGAATCACCTCCTTCTTGGTCCTTTCCAGGACTTGGCCGTGTCCTGTGCCTGCAGATATGGGAGGGCTCCATCTATACACCATTATCCCTGTGGCTCCCCTCCATGTCCTGCCTGTACAGTGAGTGTGTGGTCAATAACAACCCTGGGAGGACTTACTTCCTTCTCAGGCGGAGTCCTGCCCCAGAGAAGAACCCCTTCCCTTCCCTACAAACTGAGGCCAGACCAGAGGCCATTTCACACTTCAGATAAGACTTCTGATAGCAAGGTTGTGTTTCTTGCAGCAGATAAAGGCACCTTGGATTCAAGGTCAGTATTCCCCTATCAAGCAAGGGACCACCCAATCACGTTCCACATAGTAAAGACTAAACTTCTTTTACTGAATACTAGTAGAAACACAGAACCATGCCTTGAGTACTTCCCAGAAATATCTGTGATATTCTTTGTACACGCGTGTGCACACTGAAGAAGAAATACATGGCTGAGCTCCGTAAGCCGTTCATAGTCAGGCCAGGCCTCCCGGGACCGACTTCGTGGTGAGAGACTGCCTGTGCTCCCCTAGTAGAGGCTGTGCTGGGTACAGTAGTGTGTGCACAGCTGCCGGTGGAACTGCAGGTGATAGTCCTTCACCAGTTTGCCCAGGATGTACAGGAACTCGTCAAAGCAGATCTGGTTGTCCTTGTTCTTGTCGGCTGCCCGGAACAGCTCTGTGATGTAGTAGGGCTGCCTGCGGCCCTGGGTGGGGGGGAGGGGATACAAAGGTGATCAACACCCACTGAGCATCCGGAACGCCTGTCCGCCAGACCCCTCCTCCCTCTGGACAGGGAAAGATCCCAGCAGTACTGTCCCCCTACAAGGAGCATTCAGGAAACAAGTCCTGCAGCAAGATCACCACATGCTACAAAATCAGGCTGAAGAGGCCCAGGTGTTGGTGGCCACCGTGGGTCACTGGACCTAGAGTGGCATGGGCCCAAACAAGAGACCAAAAATGTCCCTTTCACGGAAGGACCGTGAGCAGTTCCTGGACAGTACTCGGCAGCCTGGCGTCCCCGGGTTCACTTCTCATACACGCGGTGGCTGTGCCTTGTCTTTGCAGTTACAATACAAGCTCTCGTAGAGAGACACCTGTACCAGCTTCCTGACAAGACACTGCCTCCTTCTCCACACTGAGAGCTCCTTAAAGGGTGTCTGCACGCATACACCACCTCCTGTGTGACTGCAGGACCATCTCCAAGCAGGGCATATCTCCACGTGCTACCCGCCTAGGCATTGTTTATGAAAGTCTACTGGCTCACCTAGAGGGTACAGAAAGCAGGGAAGGACAGAGAAACGGCCACTGGAGCTGTCCAGGATGTCTGAGCAGAGGACCCTGAGGATGAAGATCAGAATGCACAGGAAGGGGCTGTTTGAGGCGGGAGACAAGTGTGAGGAAAGCTGGGGGCTCTGTTTTGAGAGAAGATAATGATGGATGGGGCAGGTGGACGTGGAAGAGAACTGGGGAGTGACAGGAAAAGCAGGTTTCAGCAGGATGTTCCTGGTGTGCATGGACACGCTCAAGTTCAGAATGGAACATCTGGGAAACGTTTGGAGGAAGGAAGGTGACGTGTAAGTAGCTGCAGACCTGGAGAGCAGTTGCTCACCCCTGTGGAGGGCGAGCGGCTTCTCTCCCGGCAGCAGGCCAGCCATCCTGCAACCCCATCACATCCAGAGAAGACAAGAGCTCTCGTCAATGCCCATCCCTGTCACATCTGCCAGCTATGCCCCTATCCTCAAGAGCCCTGAAGCTAAGGCAGGCCACAGGTCCATGATCGCGGACCTGGGCAACCCAGGAGAGCCGCCAAGGAAGGCTCCCAGAAGGGAAAGGATTTCCTAAAAACAAATAGCAAGAAATTTCCACTGTCTTCTGAGCTCTCAGAGGAACATTCCAGAGAGCATGAGGTTGTCTTTCACATTTTGTTCTCGAGAGGATGTGAGTGAAGAAGCTATTTCACAGGAACAAGCTGAGTCTCCTTTCCTTTAGAGAGGGTAGGGCAGAGAGCAGGGGACACGACAGGGTTCAGAAAACAACATGGCGCTTTCTTCAGTGCTGCAGATCCGAAGATCACAGTACTGGGGGTTAGGACCGATGAATGACAGCCTGGACAAGCAGGCTCTGGAAGCCCAGGACCTGAGGCTGGCCCTGTCCCACTCTAAGAAGTCTCAGGCATGGAAAGTAGAAGAGGTTATATTTCCCATGCCCACCAGACACCAGTAGAGACACTGGCAAAGGGACTTAGGCTCCAAGGCTTACAGACAGTCTGAGTTGGGGGGCACTGCTGCTGGCTAAAGAGGCTGTGAACAGAGAACACTTTTGAGCACATGCTCACAGGACACAGGCGACGGCAGACTCAGCAGGTGTGGTGTCAGACTGAGCCTCAGAGACTGACTCTTCATGGACTGGAGTGAAACCAAGCAGGTGACTTCAGAGGAGGTAAGGACAGGAAATAAAGCAAACCCTGCCTTCCTAACACCCTCTCTCTTCCACCCTCCTTCCAGGAACAGGAGATTCTTGTGAGAGTCAGCTCCTTCCGCCACCTCAGCACACTCCCAACCCCGCAAACAGCACAGTCTGGGCACTTCGGGCCTCTCCCATCTCCCATTCCAACCCCAGACCTAACATACCAAGGTGTCCATGAAGCGTGGTACGCTCTCCAAGAGCAAGGCTTTCAGCTCCTCCAGGGACAAGGTCTCCACGTCCCCCTCCCGGGCGGCATAGTGGTGGAAGCAGTGTATGATTTGGAAGAGGGAGTCCTCCACCGGTGTGTCTGGCATGACTGCTGGGCCCAGCAGGGTGTGGGCAGATCTGCAGAGCAGAGAGGAGGCACTGGGTCAGTGAAGTCTGTGGGGAGAGGGCAGACCCCGATCTGCAGACGTCCAGAACAGGATGGACTCTTCCTCCGGCCAACGTCTGCCCTCCTGCCCATGTTCCCACGCTGTGTCAGAAAGGGGGGAACTCCTCACGCTCTCACTGGCCCCATGTGAACTTGACCTTCCTGCCTGACCTCAGACTGAGTCCCTACACTGGGACCGAGGGCCTCCTGGGTCCAGAAGGGGCCTCCTTCTTCCTAATAGCCAAGAAACAAACAAGCAAAAGATGGTTTGAAGCAAGGCACTGTTTTTGTTGTTTTCGGTGAAAATGTTGACATCCTTGAAAAGGCAAGATCCCTTCCCCTATAGTAAACCACTTTATGGGACCAGCAGAACACTAGTATAAATTACCAATATAAAGTACAGTATAAAATAATTAAACCACACCGGAGAATCAGGCTGGACATTGTACTCTTCCTGTGCTTTCTTTCTCCCTGGAGTATGCAGACAGCATAGGCATTGACACCTTTGTCCCCACCAGCACCTGGCATGCGGTTTCTAGGAGTTGACATCCCCATCCCCAGCAAGGTCTCCGTAGCCCCAGGGCCTTCCCACAGCTCTGTGCACTGCCCATCTGATGTCCGTGGCTGCTTACTCCAGACTTCCTACAGAGGCAGGATCACAGGCAGCTGCTGCCTCATACGCCCTGTGCAAACAGCAATCATAACAGCCCCACGTCCCACTTCTGTGCCAGCTAGATGACAGGCAAGGCACCTTGTGCATTATCCCCTTTAATCCGCACAGGGCCCTGAGGAGCTGAGCATCACTACCCCATTCTCCAGAAGAGAAAATGATATCCAAAGAAGTTATGGAATTCACCAAGATTACACAACCACTACACCTAGATTCATCCTTAAATCTTTGTCTTTGTGGACAAGTCCAAAGACGTCCTTGTCCTCTGGAATTCTAGACCACGTTGTTGGGATACTCATCCACACTGCATGTCTCCAGAACAGTCAAACTGAGGATCTCTGCTCTCCAGGATCTGCGCACACCCTGCACAGCCCACACCGTCCCCGAGATGCTCTCGGAAGAGGAACTGACCTGTTGCTCCTGGTGTTGGGCTGTTCAGCATCCACAGCTTAGTCTCTGCGTGATCCTGGAAATCAGACAGAAGGTAGCCTTCTGAGCAGGGGAACTCTCACCGCGCAGGACATCCTGCCCATTGCTGGTCCACTCATTTATGAGCCAGTGTGTGACTCTCCACAGGTTCTTCTACAGCAGGACCAAACCTTAACTGCATTCCTGGGATGACATCATCACACTCCTTGCTAAGATAAACTCAGCTGATTTTAGGGACCTACCTCCAGGATCTGAAACACCTAAGAAACACAAAAGGTTTCATTATCCATCTACTACCTCCTATTAGGACTCATCCCCACCACGCCCCCTCTCCCAGGCTCCAAGGCCACACTTAAAAATATCTTCCTTGGACAGCCTACCCCGAACAGTGAACCTCCCAAGTCTCCAGTGATGAACCACATTCACCCACTCACTCAACAACTATTCCATGAGTACCATGCCAGGGCCTCTACTATTCTCTATGAATAAGACACTGGGTCAGCCAATTCAAGGGGCGGGGCTAACAGTTATACCTGTTACCACGGACTCTGGGCAACTATAGGGCAATCAGGACACTCAACAAGAGCTAGCTTCTCCCAGAAAAATTAAGGAAGTTTTACTTAGGGAGGTGCTTTTTGAGTAGTGTCTCAAAGAGAAATTTTAATTTGTTCCAGGAATGGAGGAGTTCTAGGCATAGGGGACTGCCTGGGCAAAAGCTTGGAGGTGTGGAGCAATACGGCCTGCTCTGGACATGGAGTTCCCAGGATGCCGTGATTGCTGAGAAGACCAAAGCTCCCTGCAGCAGGCAGATAAGGGTGACGGCCCTGTGCTGAAGTCTGACTTTCTGTGTGGGAAGAGCTGAGATGTTGCATTTGTGGCCCGGGTGACATACAGAGGTCAAAGCAAAGTGCTAGGGACCAGTTTGACCACCAGAAAACAGCCAGCTACAACCTGGAAGTAACTCCACGGAGAAGTCCAGCACTTAGAGCTGGCCTCTACACAAGTGCCACTTAACTCTCAGGGGACAAGTGAGCTCTCCTCTCGGTCACACCCCAGTACAAGCCTCTGGGGCCTTCTCAACCCCTGTAGCACACCTGGGCCCACACAGGCTGATGAGTGTTTCTCCCAGAAGATGGCGCCAAAAAGCAACTAACAGTTTTGGCGTCTAGACTCCAAAGATTTCACAGACGTCGAAGGGAGATGCTGCAGCATTGCTCACCAGGACAGGGTGAGTGGACTAGAGCACCAGGATTCAGAACCAGCACCAGAACCATGACATCAATAGCGTGCTTAGTCATAGAAGGACTTAAGTCAGTGCCTCTCCCGGTTTGTGTTCACCTAACAAAACAACCTCATAGTGCTTCTATGCTAAAAACACAACTCAGTTTTTTCTACTATTTGGAAGTGCCAAGCTAGAACCGTAAAAAAATTTATTAAATATCTTTGGTTCATCTATCATTCCCCAGGAATTTATCCTAAGAAATCTTAGAGGCTTTAAGCAATAATTCAGAAAATATTTCCCACTGCAGTCTCTATAGTTTAGAAACACAAGTAAATGAAAACCTTAAAATCATGTAATTCACACTCTCGGTACTTATACAAATACTCTATAATATTTATGTTTAAGCTCTAGACATCACTTGTAGATGTGGAATGATGATCTAATAACCAAATGGTTGCTTGCCAGAGACCAGCACCTCCTCCTGACCTGTCCCCCTCCCTGATCACAGGCCACTCTAGCAGGGACTCCTGCCCC